TCACCATCAGTCAAACAACGTGTTTTCTGTTCACAGAATAAACCTTCAGATCAGACAAATACAATCTTAATCTCTAAAATTCAACAAAAATGAGTAGTTTATCTAAAACGTCATCTTGTGGAGCCGACATCTGAATCAATCAGCTGTTAGATCAGGTGAGAGCCAGGCGGTGCAGTCGGTGGAGAGCAACTGCAGCGCCAGGCTCTAAAAACTGCGGCCGCCTCGCTCTCGGGGCTTTATCGCCGTCCACTTCTGTAATACGTCAGAGCAAGTCGGGATGAAGTCGGACACAAAACTTGCATTGTGCGCCGGTGATCGAATCTGCGCAGGCCTGCCTCATCTCGAAAGAACCTACTGTGTGTTTTTGCTGTTGCGATAAGTTTGCCTTTGCATTTGTCGAGAACAATATACACTTTGTCTTAGTATAAATTCCCCCTAATTTCTGTTTACAACTGTCAAATTTCCCAAGACCCACCATCATAAAGTACAGCTTATTCCTGACATTTGTCTGAAAAACCAATACAAAAACAATGAAGTCAGGGGTAGATTACATAGACCGTAGAACAGTTGCATTATTGGAGTTCAAGTCCTGAAGGAACAGGAACCTACTGAGTTTGTGCTAGTGTAAAATAATAATAATAATAATAAGAAGAAATAAAGCAAATTAACGCCTAAAAACACAATACTGGAAAGGACACACCCCTCACACCACAACTCGGATTGACTTGAAATTTGGCTAACATATGCAGATCAGTGTGCTCTACAAAAAGCCTCTTGGACCAGGTGTGGCATCCCATCACAACACAGGTGTGCCTTGGGATGGTCACAATAAAAGGGCACTCTGAAATGTGCAGTTTGATCACACATCACAATGACTGTGTTTACAAGGTCTTTAGTATCCCGGTTTTGAGGCTTATCCCGGCTTTGAGCATATCCGGGATATGATGTTTACATGGAACACAGAGAAACCTGGTTATTCATATCCCTGTATACATGATAAATACCAGTATCCCGTTTTCTGATCACTGCGCCCTATCTGTGCAGGCGTGTGTTACGTCTTTTACGTCTTTTGTTTACAACAGATTGAGCGGGAAATGTAATATATTTATTATATTTACAAGTAAGACAAAAATGAGACCTCTGTGGCTTCTAGCGGGCTTAGCGTTAGTAAATACTCACGTCGCATTACAGCTATGGCTCATCCACTTCATCTTCAGCAATGGGAGGAGAGAGTGACAACAAATATTGAATACGTCACCAACTTTGAGGTATTCGGCTGTTACTGCCACCGCACAATACAAGGCAACAGTGGATGAAAAGACGTAGCCGTGACTGGTGGGAGAGGATCGTTCTCATGGAGTTTACAGATTCAGAGTGGAGAGAAAACTTCAGAATGAGTAGGGCATCCTTCAGCCGGCTGTGTGACGTAGGTTGAATGGTTGAACCATTCATGAAACCGGGATAAGGTGTATACATGCTCCAGTATCCCGGCTTCTATCAGAGTACTCCAGGTGGCAAAACCGGGTTTCTTGAAACCGGGAAAAGGGCATAACCCGGTTTCTGAATTCGGGATATGGTGTTTACATGCACAAACACAAAAACGGGATACTTAAAAAATCCAATCAAAACCGGGATACTAAAGACCTTGTAAACACAGTCAGTGACACAGATATCCCAGGTTTTGAGGGACAGTGCCATTGGCATGCTGACTGCAGGAATGTTGACCAGAGCTGTTGCCTGTGAGCTGAATGTTGATTTCACTATCATAGGTGTCTTTGGGTAGGTGTTTATAAGTTTTAACTTCTACCTACACCCTTTCAGTTACATTGATTATTGAAATGTAATGAAATAAACACATTCATTCATTCATTCATTCATTCATTCATTCAATGTAATTTGCCTGAATTTGTCAGTACATCCAACCAGCCTCACAACTGCAGACCATGTGTATTCACACCGGCTCAGGGCCTCTACATTCACCGTCACCTGTGAGATCATCTGAGACCAGCCACCTTAACAGCTCATGCAACAATGGGCTTGCACTACCAAAGAATTCCTGCACAAACTGTCAGAAATTGTCTCAGTAAAGCTCATCTCTGTGCTTGTCATCTTCACGAGGGTCTTGACCTGATCACAGTTTATACCGACTTGAGTGGGCAACTGCTCACCTTCAAAGGCATCTGGCAATTTGGAAGAGTGTCTATTCACAGATGAATCATGGTTAATGCCAACAATGTGAACAGAGTGCCCCAGGATGGCAGTGGGGTTATGGCATGGGCTGGTATAAGCTACAGACAACAAACTCAGATGCATTTCATTGATGGCAGTTTAATGCCAGAAATAAGGTCCTGGGGCCTCATTTATAAAGCTTGCTTACGCACAAAACGGGGCTTGAAAGTGGCGTACGCCACTTACCACGCAAAGGCTGTGATTTATAAAAATAAACTTGGCGGGAGAATGTGCGCACCTGTAAGCAAACTCTGAGTCATGCGTGCGCACATTTTGGAGACACTGGGAAGTGGCGAAGCACACGGCGAGGTGAAGTGTAGTCGGATTTTTATTGATGTCTCACACAAATTTAATGTCACGCTATATCCACCTTAGATCCACGTTATCATTGAAATTAAATCCAGCAGCCTAATTTTGCGTTTGGAGTGAGTTTTAATTGTTTCATAAAAACGTTGTAAAATCCAACTCAAATCCTGAACTGAAATTCTTTCTAAATACTTATTTAATCCGCACTGCCTCTAACGTCTCATTGTCCACTCTGTGAGCGCAGGAGGGGGAGAGGATGGCGCGACTGCATGGAATATATTTACTTATTTAGCTAAATATTTCCAGTGCATTTATCATGTCTCGAAATACAGCCATTAAGCACAACCGTTACACTCACTTCATCAGCCCTACTTAAACATGTGCTGTTCATGACAAAACCGGCATTAAGAAACATGTTCGCTTATTACACTTTCATCTTTGAATTGTATTTCAAATTACACGTTGTATTTTGGGACAGGGATATCACTGGTTCATGCTGTAATTCAGGCCGGGAGTCTGATCAGACTAATTGCCATAAACATATAAATTGCTGTGACCCTCGTGCGTAATTGCGCAAGATGGCACTGTCCGTGCAGTCCCACAGACACAGTTGACAGCTTCAGCAGCGCTGATGTGCTGCCACTTTATTTCGCTTTCTTGTATTAGTGATCCTGCTGCTGTGGCCACCAAATAAAATTTTTCTTCAGTCCTCCACCTCCCGTTAAAGGGTCTCTAGCTTAGTCTCGGAGAAATTCCGTTTTTTGGTTCGTTTCTCACCCGTCGCCGTGACTCACACAACGAGAGAACACTCGCATGCCGGCTTATTTATATGCAGATCGCATTCGTGAGGTGATTTGCATGACCATTTATGGTTGAACTAGGGCGTGTAGAGGGCGGAATATGAGGCGGATCTGGGTGCGCACAACTCCAGGAGGTCTGTGATTTATAAAGAGAACATTGCGTGCAAGTGTGCGTGCGCACGGTTTTATAAATCAGATTATTTTTGGGCGCACGTCAACTTTTAGTATGAATCCTAAGCACTCTTTTATAAATGAGGCCCCTGGTTGTTAAGAATTTCCCCTTTAAATGCACAGAGATACAGTGACAAGATCCTGAGAGCCATTGTCATGACATTCATCCACCGCCATGACCTCATGTTGCAGCATGAAAAAGCATGGTCCCATGCTGCAAGGATCTGTACACAACTCCTGGAAGCTGAAAACATCCCAGTCCTTGTGTTGCCTGCAGACTCACCAGACATGTCACCCACTGAGTATGTTTGGGATGCTCTGGATCCGTGTGTATGACAGCATGTTGCAATTCCTGCTGATATCCAGCAACTTTACACAGCCACTGAAGAGGAGTGGGCCAACATTCCACAGGCCACAATCAACAACCTGATCAATGCTATATGAAGGAGATGTGTCGCACTGCATGAGGCAAATGGTGTCACATCACATACTGACTGATTCTTTGAGGTATCTGGGACCAAAAAATACATTGCTGTAGCGCTAGTCCTGTGAAATCCTTATAAATGTATTTTTTTAAGATCAACCTGCACATTTTAGGGTGTCCTTTTATTGTGACCATCCCAAGACACATCTGTGTAGTAATGATGCTGTTCAATCAGCATTTTGTCACCTGTCAGTTGGATTTGATTATCTTGGAAGAGAAGAAGAGCTTACCAACATGGATTTTAACACATTTACGAAGAAAATTTGAGAGATATAACTTGCATAGAAAGTCTTTGACTTAAACCTGTGAAAAATGGAAGCAAAACAAGTGTTGAATTTAAATTTTTGTTCCGTAGATCACATTTTTGCATAAGGTCCTAGCGAAAACCAAAATGTCATATTCATAAATGTAAAACTGACAACACACAAAATTGAGTATCAAGTAAGAACATTAAGTGCTTCTCTTAAAAAAAAAAACAGTTACTGGCTGTATCCAATCCTAAACACAAGGGTAACTAAACTTCATGTATTCCAAATAAAACTAGTGTGCTAGCAGATTTTAGCAGAATATCTGTCTATGTTTTGACAGGAGAATGAGGATTCACTCTAATTCATTAAACAACTTAACTTTGAACATTTGTGCTGTATGAGGATATCAAGTCATTCCAAATCACAGGGATGAAGTCCAAGTGAATTCATGTGTTATGGGTGTTGAAGTCATCAGATTCATGACTCAAGACTGACTTAAATCCAAGTGATGTGACTGAAGTCCACACCTCTTTTTAAATATGACAGAGGATATGTTAAGAATCCGATGGCCCATCTGCAGGTCCACATAAGGTTTTATTTGATGATTATGAAATGTACAAAACTGCTGTATTTGCTGTGTGTAAGTGGTTTACTCATACAACCCATCATTCAAAAGCTACCCTCCTTGGGGTGCCATTAATGCTGACCATTTCAAGATACAACCACCACAGCACGCTCAATAAACGCTCCTGTTGACTTCCGGTTTTGGCAGCAGAGTGAACAGCAGCATGCCCCTGAGCTCTCCTGATTTTTCACGCTTATCACATAACCTGTAGAGCTTTGCAACCAACTTTTTGACCTTATATGGATGAACACTCTAGATGTTAACATAAGCCAAAGTCCTAAATGCCACCTAAAAATCAGACTATAAGAAAAATAACGGACAGAGGGAGGCTGTTGCGGCTAGCGCTAGCATGGCTAACGCTTATTCGTCGCAAGCTAACTGACAGTTTTTTGGACACACAGCCTCCACCCTGGTTTTTGAGAGAGATGGAAAAAATAACGAACGTGATCCAGAACACATTTGCTGCCCGTCTCAACCAAGTGGATGAATCTATCGAGAAGCTGGGGGGAGGACTGCAAGCTAACACGGACAGGATAGCTCAATTGGAGCAAAAATGCACTGAGCTGGAGCAGTCACCAGACTTCAACAAGACTACGACGAGTTGGCCCAAAAACACTCCCGGGCTGAGGCAGAACATAGGGCGCAAATCGACGACCAGGAGAATCGTCAGAGAAGGAAACATTTAAAGATTGCAGGATTCCCGGAGGGAGTTGAAGGTAACAATGCCGTTGCCTTCCTAGAAAAATGGTTACCATCGATACTGGGTCTCTCTCTGTGACACTGGAGATAAAAAAAGAGTGCAGCGCACCCTATGCCAACTCCTCAGTAAGAAAAGTGGCTATTGGCTGTCCTAAAAGTTGCTAGAAGTCCCTAAATGACGTCATCATCTAATTTGCATAATTTGCCATATGCATGTAATTGTAATGGATGCTGTAGGAGAGAGGAATAACGTTGTGGGAGAGACAAAAGCTGAGTAAAAAACACCCTCAGTATGTTTAGAACTACAAATGAACCTTCTTTCAGTGATTTATATTAGACAAAGAAAATTTTACATTTACATCCCGCCCTGGATCAGCCAGTGGCGGCTCCACGCATGCATGATTCACTTGCAGTCTGGACGCAGAGGGGTTAACATCTCCTCCTCTGACTGTGAGTGCTTTGGGACGGGACACGAATACTTTATTTGCAGTATAAAAACAATCTAATGATATTAAACACAACACACACAGATTAGTCAGTCAGTAGAGTGTATTGATGCAAAGACCTATTGCCAACCCAGTCCTGCACACTGCACCTGTACCTGGCACTGTTTTTTTGGTGGTTCCTGCTCCACTTTCCTCCTCCTCCTCCTCTTCCTCCTCCTTCTCCTCCTCTTCCTCCTCCTTCTCCTTCTCCTCTTCCTCCTTCTTCTCCTCCACCTCCTCTTCCATCTCCTCCTCCTCCTTCTCCTGTCCCTCCTCATCTGTCTCTTCCTCCTCCTCAGTCCTATGACTGGCATTATCCTGTCCTTCTGCATCAACTCCACGACTGACACTGGCCTTGTCAGCTAATAATAACAATAACAGCAACAATGATAAACGTTATAGCACTTTTGCAAAGAATTCACAGTGTTAGAACACAAATACAATATAAAAATCAACATAACAAAAGCGCCACACACACACACACACACGCACGCACACACCCACACACACACACACACACACACACACACAGTGTAAATGAATTACTCACTTTAATGTATTTTTCTTGAGCTGGTAAAAATGGCTATATATTAATGTAGAAACAGTACAGGAAAACAGCTGTATAGCTTATATATTCCAATATTATCTTTTTAACTTTGAACACAGACTCTCTCCTGAAGTAGGCTATGTTTTCTTTTGCAATAAAGAAATTTGTGTTAATTGATAAAGCAGATTAATGATTTATGCATGTATGGTGTAACATTACTGATAGGCTACCTTCAATGTTCTGTGTGCGAACTAGGGTTGGGACTCGTTAGGATTTTAACGATTCCGATTCCTTACCGATTCCTTCTTAACGGTCCGATTCCTTACCGATTCCTCTTACCGATTCCTACATTATATTCATTATACTTGCTATACTTAAACAAGTATATAATAAACACAAATGCAATCATACAAATACAAAAACTTTATTCTAACTGTTGCACAGTACAATTAGGCCTAGATGAAAATACACATTTGTGTGTGGTGTGTATTTCAGATTTAGAGCTTGTATCATCTCCCTGAGAATATATAATAACAAAAAGTGATTCTCTGATTTCTACAGTAACAATATTACCTCAAATTAACCACAGCAATGTAATAAAAAAATACTTATATGCATTCATGCTTGGGCACTGTTATTTACGTGACAACACCTGAACATAACACACACACACACACATTGGCTGTTTGTTTCTACCACTCCCCTCGCTGGAAGCGGACCTCCCGCCGCCCGCCTCCGCCTTAATTAAACGCTGAAAATTAAATGAAAGAGGGAGACGGGTTTTTCCTATTTTATCTTATTTTGTTATATTTCTCCCTCTCCTACAACAACTGTGTGACACAAACTCAGTGCTTTAGTAATTAAATAATGTCGGGCTCGGACAGAAATATGCAGCCCGTGCCGCACTCTAATGGAAATGCACGTGACGTGTTTTTTTTTTTTTTTTACAATCAAGGAACCGTTTGCAGGAACCGTTACTCCAAATGTGATGGAACCGGTTCCGGAACCGGAACTTTGGACCCAGTTCCAAAAAAGAACCGGAACTGGATCCGGATCCCAACCCTAGTGTGAACACATCCAAAAATGCAAACTAGAGTTCTCAATGGACCTGAAAATTACAACCCGACCCTGCGGATTTTTAAACCCAGACCCGACGCAGCCGACACACCTGCATTAGCCTTATTGTCTGCCCGAAAAAAAGGAAGCCCGAGGTCCTACCCGGCCCGAGTCATTTGCATATTTTTTCAGCCCGAACCCAGACCAAACCCGCGGGCCCGGTTGGGTTTGTCGGGCCGGCCCGACCCGTCTGGGATGATAGGGCCATGTAGGCAGTGCTTGCTAACCGCTCGTATCCCCCTTTAATATGCAAAATATTAGATTGACCCAGTCTGATGTTCCACTCTGTGCCACTGCCACCTGCAGCTGCGAGGGCAGGCTGCTGCGGTCAACCGCGGCAGCGTTTTATGGGGTGAAAAAACGTTCCGACCTCCGGCCGGTTCGGCCTGGAACAGACCGGCCGTTCGGGAATACTCCCGAACCTCCCTATGGCCAGCCCGCCCCTGGGACCCACACACCCCATACCAATGTAGAATGGTTTGTCTATGTGGGCCTAATAAGACACATCTCTTTTTAAATGGGTTTCATGCTCTTTCTATTTTATACAATTTTTTTTAAACAAACTCTAATGGTTTTCAGTGAAAAAAGTCTATTTTCTTCAATGGCTTTCACATTACTGGACCCAGACACCCCACACCAATGTAGAATGGTTTGGTCAAGTGGGCCCTAATAAGGCACACCTCTTTTTAAATGGGTTCAATGCTCTTTCTATTTTATAGGAATTTTTTAAACAAACACCATTGGTTTTCAGTGAAAAAAGTCTATTTTCTTAAATAGCTTTCACGTTACGGGACCCAGACACCCCACACCAATGCAGAATTGTTTGTCCAAGTTATTGGACTGAGCATACAAATGAACAGACCCTGCCTAACACTTAACTGATCAATCGGCAAAATATCAAGGTTCATTATAATAACTTGAGAGTTGAGCAATCTATGCAAGTTCAATAATGCTACCACAACACTACGGATTTCAGTCAATTTTAGGGTGTACCTCTTTAGTTGGGGAAAAAGAGGTTAGGGTCCAGAGTTTGACAGAGCTTATTCTATTTTTACTACAACAACCTGAGTATATGTACCTTATAATAATACAGAGAAAAGAGGGAAATATTCTGTTAATAATTAGGACTATTTTATGATGTGTTACAAGCCATATAATGTACATAAAAACCACCCCAATGGGATATAGGTGTCTGGTTTGGAACGTAAAAGGGGTAAACAACTATGTGAAGAGGAAACGCATTTTAAGTTATTTGAAACAGCACAATGTTGATATAGCCTTATTGCAGGAGACACATCTGACAGACAATGAACATGCTTAATTGAAACAAGGTTATAGCCAAATATTTTTTTCATCATATACATCTCAAGCTGGAGAAGTGGCCATGCTACTTCACAGAAATGTCCCCTTTCAGGTGAATTCAGTCATTAAGGACCGTTATGGGAGATTTGTGATAGCACAGGGGTTATTACACTTAGAGCCCATAACACTGGTTAATGTTTATGGAGCGAACACAGATAATCCTCAGTTCTTTGAGAAACTGTTTTTACTCTATCTGACTTACACACTGAGGTCTACATGGGAGGAGATTTAAGTCTAGTTTTGGATCCAATCCTTGATAGGTCTGCTCTTTAACACGGAGTGCTATATTTCTAAAAGAAGAGATGATAGGAATGGGGCTTGTAGACATCTGGCATACATTAAATAAGGATACTAGAGGATACTAATTTTATTCTTCTGTCGACAATAGTTATGCCCATACAGATTTAATGTTGATGCCCTCCTCTAAGATACATCAAGTCACATCTTGTGAGTATTTGGCAAGAACCTTATCAGATCATGCTTCCTTGTTAGTAACAATACCTGCAGTCACGCCAGTTACCAGACGCAACAGATGGAGATTCACCTCACATTTACTTAACGAATCAGAATTTGTGAATACAATCAGCATGGTACAGAGCCTCAAAGGGGATGTGGATGTTCTGTTTTTTTAATTAAAGTATCTCGTGCGCAGGAGAAAGTATCTCGTGCGCAGGAAACACTATCTCGTGAGCACGTTAAACTTTCTGGCGCGCACAAGAAACTATCTCGCTTTTCTCGGAAAATCATCTGGATGAATGCATTTACTACCAGCAGTGACCCAGAAATCATTGGAGGCTACTACATGGAGGCAGTCGAGAGATTAGGTGGTTGTCCAAGGATTGTCAGAGGCGACCGGGGCACAGACATTTACAACATCTGCAACATTCTGATGGTGGAGTCACAGCTGCATCTTCCAGCTGATGCTTGTCAAGCAGTGGATTTGTACCTGCATTTGAGAAATGAGATAAGATCTACTCTCTAATTTGAGATGTGTATTCATCTAAACTGATCACATCACACAATGCTTCTCCAGTCCACTATGCTTTATTCACCAAAAAAAATTAACACCAAGTTGTTAAGTTTTTCAGGAACTCTGTAGACGCTATATTTGTAACTTTGGACTATTTTGCCTTAGAGAAAGGATTGATCTGTCTCTGTGTGCACACTGACTGCACTGTAACAGTGCTATGTGACAGATATTAAGAACATTTGCAACATTATTATGGGGCAGTTGAAACTTCAAGTGGTTGCTTGTCAAGAATTGTATTTGTACCTATATATCTGAGGAATGACAGAGTATTCTTATCAGTATTTTTTCCTGGAATTAGACAGTTCAATTTGTTGTACAGCATATAGGAGTGTTGTCATAGATGTTTTACTTTGCCTTTATATCAGTCATGAACAGGAAACAAATAAACCCAACCATAACAAAGAAAAACAAGACAGAATGTGAATGAAGAATTCATTTTTTATTGAAAAACATTTTACTTTAACCATTACAGGCAGT